ATTAATTAGAAATTTCTATCCATTAATTATTACTAGCAATTTGATTGATTAATAAACATTAGATTCTAGTAATTAAAGATAAATAACTATAACAAATAAATTTATAATGGAGATTAAATTAGCTATTTTTCCTTTTTTTCTTTTATTTTTATTTATAAACAACATTTGAAGTAATAAACTTTTTACAGTTTTCTGATAGTGATATTTCAAGGTAGTTTTTGGTTAATGCTATTACGGCTTAACTTTTGGGCTACTCTTGTCAGTTAATTGCAAGCAACTCACAATAATTTGATGCTTACCAGTTAATTAGTTTACAAATTTACTTTGGTCCTCACTTACTGTCTCTTTCTTGTATGTGAATTTGTAAGCACATTTGATTAAAACTCCGAACAAGCCAAGCCGAGTTTATGCTTTGACTTGACTTGAATCAAGGTTGGGTGACGAAAATATTTTGGTGTAAAAAATATTTTGTCAAGCGGGATACATCTGACAAATGTGATGAAATATGACGAAAATGATGAAGATGACAAAAGTCAAAAGTCAAAATCAATTGATTTTCTTTTTGGTCAATTAGAACAGTGCTTTCATAAAAGCTTGACAAAAGAGCTTGGGCATTTTATTTTTGTTTATTTCATTGTTTTGTTGATTGTTAATTTATCCAAATAAAAACAAGCAATAGAAGAATGACATCCAGGGCTAAATGAGCCTTGAGTTTAAAAGGTGTTCTATGACTCCAGGTTTTTGGACAATATTTGCAAGATGCTGAGTAATGTCCTTTTACTTTTTCCATGAATCAGACACAGGACATCCTGGAGCCAATTCTTGATTATTGTTAAATGAATTTCTAAATTTAATGTTTATATATTCACATTATATATATGATCATTGAGAAGGAATTGGTGAATTAGAATTTTTTTTTTTAATTACACCTTGAACCAAAAATTTAAAATCCATAAATAATTGTTTATTTTATTGTCATTTTCGTCAAATTCCTCAGTGTAGAAATCTTATTTCGTTACATTTACTTTCATCATGTGATGAATAGGAGACATTCGTCACCCAACCTTGATTTAAATTTTAAATATGCGAGTTTGAAACTCGAGCCCTCAAGTCAACTCGAAGTTTATAAAATCATGATTTTGCAGACCACTGAAAATAATTGAAGCAATAATGAATTGTATACTAATAACATGCTTGAATTTTAGAACATTTTAATCATCATAAATAATTTTATGAGACTAAAAATTTCAAATGAGAACAATTCTGAGTTTTAATATTATTATTTGTTTTTTAATTAATTTTTTATTATTATTCGAATTATTCATTTTATTCATGTTGTTCGTTATGTTTATTCATTTTATTGTTTTTTATTCTAATTATTCTAATTATTCGTTTTTTTTATTCATTTATTCGAATCACCCGGACCATTCGTTTTATT